AGTTGTATATATAAATATGTATATTTATGTATATATAAATTATTGAATTCTTCGAGTTGTATCCCATTTATGTATATATAAATTATTGGATTAAAGTTGTATATATAAATATGTAAATTTAGTGCATATTTATTGGATTGAAGCTGCAAATTTATGAAATCTGGTGCAAATTTGAAAGACAACGCTTAAATTTTAAGTGATTATTTATACAGGACGCTTAAAATATAAGCTGAATATATTAAAAAATTCGTGAATATTAGACAATGCTTTAAACAAAAAAGCGTTGCCTATAACGAGGAATAAAAAGCACTGCCTAAAAGGGACTTTAGAAAACACTTCTAAATAAAGCGTTGCCTAAAACATAAAAAAAGTGGAAAAAATACATTACATAGCGCTTTCAAAAGTGCTGTCTAAAGTGAAAGCGCTACTATAGGCACACTTTAGAAAGCGCTTCTAATCTAAAAAGCGCTGTCTATAGGGGCCTTTAGAAAGTGCTTATTAAATAAAGCGTTGTCTAAATGATACATTAAACAGCGCTTTTACATAAACAAAAACATTGTCTTTACTTACAGCTGCACAGGAATAGACAGCACTTATAAGCGTTGTCTATGACAAAAAAAAACATTGTCTATTCCCTTATGTAGCATAGTGAATAACAAGTAGATTCATTGGAGGGTAAATTTAGAATATCCATAAAAAATATAATCGTTGAGAGTACTGTTCTTTTCTATATATTTTTAGAGAGTGGAAGGAACACATGATCTTGTACTGAATGTGCGCATGCCACATATACTTCTTCTTGTCACTATCTTCTAGTCAGAGGCTTATAATACAAGTTATTGAAGCTTGAGTAAAGTTCGGAGCTTGTTTTCAGATCTTAGCGAATATGAGACTTCAAGGTTTATAAGTTCAAAGTTCTAAGACTTCATATGCTATCTTAGGCATACCCCATAATATTGAGATATTAGAGTCTTGAATTAACATAATCTATCTTAGAGTCCTTTTGAATATATATATATATATATATATATATATATATATATATATATATATATATATATATATATATATATATATATATATATATATATATATATATATATATATAAAAGAAGTTTTGACTTGACAACCCAAACACTTGACTTCCAATAAAATGCATGCTTTTCGATATTTCTTTATTTATAGTGCGTCTTTAGATCACAATCTGCTTGCTTCAGATTTAGCTAGCCTTCAGATTATGCATACATCAGACTTCATATACGCCTTATTCAAAGTTTGGAACCTCACTTGTCAAGAGTGCAGAACTTGCTTGTCCATAGTCTAGAGTCTTCTTATATGAATCTGCACACTTAATAAATCATTAGAGTATAAAATTGTTCTCTATATAATGTATCTTTATTATCATTAAAAATTAAGGATTAGTTGTAGAACCAAACTTGTTCCAATACTAAAAGTTTGTAAACATAACCTGTAAAAGCTCAAGTTGATAGTCAAGTCTCAAAAAGATCTCTCGGGGATATAACTAGACCAACGTTCGATCGAACCTGGATAAATAAGTAATGCCATCTCTCTAACTTTATTTTTGATTTTCTTATTTAATTCAATGCCTTTACTTTTTTGCTGCTTTTCACTCTAATCTTAAAATACTAACACAATTGGCTTGTCAAGTAACAAAACTTTAATTTTAATCATGGATTTTGAATGCTACATTTCACCCTTCATCTTGTGCTTGAAGTTGGTTCTCATACACTCATAGGATTTCTATGTATTTGATTTGGGGCTGCATAATATCATTTCCTTTACGAGGGTATTATCCTAAATCTTCTTTCTTTTATTTTTGAGTGTCATCATTTATGATTCAATACATGTTTACTTTTCATGTATATTATGCATTTGTTCAATTTCTTCTTTATATGTTATGTTAATAATTGGGATTTTTTTTCATTTACTTAATTATGGATTTTGGTTGTATTGGCTAGATGCTGGATGTTTTTGTTGGGTTGGTGTTGAATCACATCCATGAACTCAAAGGGTATGTTTATTTCTTGATTGATTTTCTAAATTTATTAGTGTTTTTTGTCATGACCAATAACACCACATTAATAACACAAAATATGTAATTTGTCGTATCAGATTAAGAACTTTTCTCCTTTTAATGAATAATAGTCTATTATGTAACACCATGATTTTCGAGTATTTGAGTTTTAGATTTATATAATTATTTTTATGATTTTTTGGGTAGAATTATATAATTAAATTAGCGTAGAAGTGAGAAATTGCAGTTTAGCATTTAACTAGGATTTAATTATATTTGTAATAATTTAATTACTTAGAAATAACGAGAAAGTGAGCCTTGGGGAGGAATTAGAATTTAAATAAAAATTATGGTGGAAAGGTGGAATTAGTGAGAATTGAGGTGAGTTTTATAATTAATTAATAAAATTAGTATGGTTTTATTTAAATAAGAGGGGAGAATTAAAGTTAGGAGCATATCTTTGGTGAGAAAGTTGTCAACAAAGTCAGAGAAAGTCTTAACAAAGCAAAAAGTAGGAGAACAAAGAGCCTCAATAGTCGTAGCTTGAGATTTTGTGCGAATCCGAGGTAGGGGGAGAGTGCTCACATTATGGGCGTTTAAGCGTGAAGGATAGAGAGAATTTATTATCCCTCAATTTTTTTATATATTTTCTTTCATTGATGAGATTGTTGAATCTTGAGAAGGTTTTGTGCAAAACCCTATTGATTATGTTGACATGTTGTGAATTTTGTACTTTATTGATGATTAATTTTCACATGGATTAATATGCCTAATTCTAATTTGTGAAGGTCATGAACATATGCGATGGTTTTAATGATTATGGTGTTGATTTCATAATTAATTGATGTGATAAAGTGTTAAATTGATATTTTATTATGAAATATATTGTTGTGATGTATATGTCGAATCTCTCAGTTTTGATGTGTTAAATGTTGTATTATAAGTGTTTGATAATTGCTATGCGTGGGGGTCGTTTGGGAGTCGAAATAAGTCGAATAATTCACAATAAGTCGAAATAAGCTAAATAAATCGCAGAAAACACACCAGAGTATTGATCAACTTGTTTCATGCATAACTTGAGTTTTGTAAGTTCATTTGAGGTGTGGCCAATTGAGTTGAAAAGCTAACACGATAATTTTTTATGTTGAAGTGGGGAAATTGGTCTAAGAGCGCTATAACAATAATTGTTCTCTGGTTTTCATACTAGAACTGTAGTCAAATTTCGGTCTTGTATTGGTTGTCTTGTTTCACGCATGACATAAGAAAATAGACAAAATTGACAAAAATTTCTACATATTAGACTTAATCATCATCTAATTCCACTAAGTTCAATATGATAAATACCAGTTACAAGTCCAACGAAATATTCTGCATGATGGTTGTACCAATTTCTATTGTTTGATAAAATTGTATCGATTGAGAACTGAAGTCCTAAAATAAAAATTATATTCTTAAAATAGATATTCTAAGCCTTCTGGAATATATTCATTTGCTTGATTTCGACTCCGCTTGATATTTTAAATAATTATTCGAATCTGAGGTATGATTAGCAGGAAACATGATTTGAGGCTGTTTTGATAAGATGCTATGTGAATTAAGTTGTTAATGCTTTAGGACACAAACCTAATGTTTGCTGGGCAAACTATTTTTTTTTAAAATTAATATATTGAGTGTATAATGAGTGCCTCACGAGGAATAAATTGTTAATGTTAAGATGCGTGGTTCAGTGACACCATTAATGTGGCCTTACAATGGCGATGAATATTGATGTTGTGTTTTATGCTCGAAAGAAATAAATGATGAATATTTGAGATGAAGGTTGAGATGATTATTACATTTGTGTTGTGTATCATTCATGCATCACGTATATCAGAGTTTAGGTTACGATGATAGTCCAACAGTGATGAGCCTGGCTTTGCGATGATGGTTCTACAATCAAGTGCTTGACCTTGCGATGTTGGATGTTTTTGTAATACACATATGAATATTCTAATTTTGGTACCACATGCATTGGAGTATATGAGATGAATACATTACATACATTATTACATTTATCATTAATTATTATTATGGATGGAGTATGTGTCTGATTATTTGCGCTAATGGTTCCATCCTTGTTGTTTTATGCACCATTAACATATGTGAATGTATTCTCACCCCCTATTTGTTTCATGTGTTATTCTTTTCACATATGAAATATATATTCAGGTAGAGGAGTTTTAGTTGTTGCTTGTTTGGAGGATGACGTAGTTAGCCTTCTTTGTTTATTATTTTTTCGTGTTATTCAGTTTTTGTGAGTCACTCTGATAGTGTAACATCGGAACGTGGTTACATTTTTTATGTATTATGCGAGTTGTTGACTTTAACTGAATTATAATTTTAATAAATTAGAGTTTTATTTTATGAAACAATTGAAGATGATTTTAATTGTTTATTTTCAGTGCAATTATACTTTTTTGAGAAAGATATTTATGCTGAAAAAATGTGACACTCTTTTTGAGTAATTATTTTCCACATGTTTTTTTTTTATAAAAAAATTATGTTCGATGTTTAGGATGTTACATATTACCCAAGACCATTTGTTTTACAATGTCCAAACATAATCGGAGCACAAGTCCACTTCAATTCTTTAACTTTCGCATTCACGTAATCATCATATTGATAACAATTGGATCAACATCATTCCATACTATTTTAAATAACTTTTTACTTTATAAAAAAATTAATTTTTAATTTTAAAATCTACATGATCTTAATTCGATCAAACGCCTCTAATCGATTCATTAAGTAGATCAGAAACCGGTGCGAAAGTCCAAAAAATAACCAATATCCCAAACCCTAATAGTAAACCCTAGCTTTCAGCTATAAAACCCTTTCTTTCGCGTTAAACCTTTCAGGCTTTCATTGCGCTCTGCTCCAAACCCTCAATAGCCGTTCAGTTCATTTTCTTCGCAATCTCTCTGTAATGGCTCCTCCTCGAGGTAACACCCCGAACTTTTTTTTTCTGTTTAGATCGATCGATTCTTTCATGCTTAATTCTTGCGTAATTTTGAATAAAATAGTACCTTTTAATTGTTTTATTATATTGATTCAATAGTTGTTTTGAATCTGTTTAGGTCGCGGTGGTTCCGGTGAAGGATTCAGAGGTAGGGGTGGTGGTGACAGAGGAGGTAGAAGTTTTGGTGGAGGTAGAGGAGATAGAGGTACACCTTTTTTTGATTGATTCTACAGAATGAAGATAGTACTAAGGTTGAGTATAGAATTTGGAACCCTTTCTGGATGGTACATGTCACTTTTGTCTTGAAAAGCATGTATGTGCTCTAATTCATAACTTCAAACTCAATAATGTTACTGTTGTATATCTGCTAATTACTTTAGAGTGTCTCTAATGCTGTCTCCTCAGTACTTGTTGTTTTACTTGTTTACACTGATTTTATGCTAAGTACCCTTAAAAGCTTACTTTTGTTAATTTCTCTCAAATTCTGTTTATATGAACTTTCATTTATAAGTAAAAATGGTTTGTTGACTATACAGTGCATGTGATGATTTACTCGGATTCCCCTTCAAGACTTCTTGGATGATGTAGACCCGAGATTCTGATGCACATCAATATTGTTCTATTCTTTTAATTCTCTAATGTTGTATTTTAAGTCCAATTTTGTTTGTTGGTTATCATTTCATTCTAATGTGTTTTTGTTTACTATTTGCATATGATGATTTACTCGGATTCCCCTTCAAGACTTCTTGAATGATGTAGACCCGAGATTCTGATGCAGATCAGAATTTGTTCTATTCTTTAATCTATATTGTTTTATTATGTTAGTGCATAGGATGATTTACTCGGATTCCCCTTCAAGACTTCTTGGATGATGTAGACCCGAGATTCTGATGCACATCAATATTGTTCTATTCTTTTAATACTGTTATGTTGTATTTTAAATCCAATTTTGTTAGTTAGTTATCATTTCATTCTAATTTGTTTTTGTTTCCTATACCATTGCATATGATGATTTACTCGGATTCCCCTTCAAGACTTCTTGGATGATGTAGACCCGAGATTCTGATGCACATTAAAATTCTCAGTTAATCCTGTTAAACAGGGCTGTTGCATTAATGGGCCCAGTTTAGTTTGTGAAAATATTTACTGTCGGTCTTTAAAATTTGTGTTAAGCTAACATGTAGATACTATAGATTAACTTATTGAATGTGCGGAGTGACGGGATGAAACTTCTTGTATTCCAAGTATCAGCTTCGATTATACTTTGGTGACTATTTCAGGCAAGAATTTTAGCGTTGAATGCTTCTTACTACCTCAAAGCTGGAGGTCATTTTGTTATTTCTATCAAGGTTTGTTCAAACGACAACATTGTTTTCAACTTGTCTGTAGTTTCTCAGTTTTTTTCGTTAGAAACACAACAATTACCTCCCCCTCCATTTCTGTTCTTTTAAAACATTAAACTGAATGATGTAGTGTTTGGTTTAATCATCTATGTCATTCAATTTATTTTGTTATGGCAGGCCAATTGTATTGATTCAACTGTTCCTGCTGAGGCAGTGTTCATCAGTGAAGTGAACAAGTTGAGAGCAGATCAATTTAAACCATTTGAGCAAGTGACTCTTGAACCATTTGAGAGGGACCAAGCTTGTGTTATTGGTGGCTACAGAATGCCTAAGAAGAAGAAAGATGCCTAGTAACCTAACCTGATTTTGTTTGAAAAATGAACTATTGTATCACTCAAGCAACTTAGGATTTTTTTATGACTCCCATTTAAGGATATCGTTGTTTTCAATTTTGAATTACATAATGCTTTCTAATGTGTTTTCTGAACATGGTTTATATAAATGGCTCTCAGAAGTGCTACAGCATGTCTAGTACTATGTATGGTTATTTAAGTTGATTTCTCGTGAAAATATAATAGGAGAATTGTTAATTATTGTATGACCTCTAAAACAAATTATTAGATTTTATTCAAACGACAACATTTAAAATTTCAAAGAATTGATAAACATTATTCTATTTATAATTAAATAGTATTATCTAATTTGAGTGATGTCTTGTTTAAGAGGACTTAACATCTCCCCTCAATTATACATACTACCACCCCCATCACAAAATGCTCTTTCACTATTTATTCCAAAAGTTTTATATTTGTCATTTTTTATTATTATTGGTCAAAGTGGATCAAAATGAAATTTTTGGTATGCTGACTAAATTTTTGGAAATTTTGGGTTGATTTTTGAAAGCCATTGTATAAATCAGGAATTATGACAATTTCTGAAAGTCATTGTATAAATTGGAAATTATGCAAATTTATGAAATTTTACGCATTTGTGGTTTGGAGTTGACAACTTCTACGATATATTGATGTTACGCAGTTCTTCACCATAGATATTATATGTCTTCTATTGAATTTACACATTATTATTTGCATGTTGACTTTAAATAAATTGATGAAGTTTATTAATTATATGTTGTAATTGGTGGATTTTTGAATTCTGACTTAAAATTCTAGAATGGGTACAGTCTATTGGTAAAAAGCATGGTATTGCTATTGTTACAATTCATTCCGATTCGGCTAATGGAATACCAAGAACTTGTCACAATTTCATGTTTTCTTTCATCCATACATCAATGGCATTATTGATGTTGAGCCGGATGACAATTGTGGTTTCCGTTGCATTTGATCTTTATTAGGATGAGAGGAAGATTCATGTTATTTGGTTCAGAAGAAGTTAGGTACTCAAGTCCATCAACAACTAACTTATTTTTCAAGATGTTCTATGACATTGTCTATGTTGTTAGAAATGTGTTACAAGTAGAACACTTGGGTCTCCATGGTAGGGATAAATGGATGTCGATTCCTAATATGGGTTATCATATTGCTTCTAAATATGGATCATATTTGTTTCCCTTTTCATGTGTTTACCGTGAAAATTGGTAAACAACCGCTAGTCTTCTGAATTCTATAAATTCTGGTAATTTATAGGATCGACTAGATTGATCCTAGGACATATATTGTGTTTCGTTGATTTATATCTTTCGAATACTCATCTTTTCGAAGGTTATGGTTAAAGTGTAAAGGATATAAATTCTATGTAAAGTGACTATAGGAAAGTAAAAAGACTTCGACTTAAAAGTAAAAGGAATGAAAGATCTTATGGTTAAAATAAACTGACAATTAAGTAAAATATGGTGATATATACGTACATTTTCAAACACTCTTTTCTCTAAACACTGGTACTTCAAGTTTTATGAGTAACTTGTACAAAAGCGAACACACTAAAATCTAACATTAAGACCCTATTTTATACTACTTCGACCATAACGTTCTTTCACTATAGAAATGCCACGTTCGATGCTGCATGCTTTCTCAAAACCTTAGGCGCTTCCATGCATCCTTCTGGATAAGAACAAAGCATTTGAATTCAAAATCAGCCTTCAATCTAAAGCGTCAAACATCATGGTACAATATGTCGAATTATTTGAATTCGAAATTTGAAATATCCTCAAGTCTTAAGACTTCATAAATCTTTATTCAATCAATCAGTCGAAAGGACCTTAAGTAACCAGCTTCACACCCCTTTTAAAATATTGGACTTCCTTTGACGTCCTCTTATTTCCTTCAAATTGCATACCGTCGAAATTCCAGCCAACAAATTGTCCTCCAAAAATATTTATTTAGCAATATCTTGAAGAAATAGACATTTTTTGCCAAGTCTCAATTTCGACGCAAAATTCTCCTTATGATGACTGTTACTGCTGTGACGTCATGGTCATGATGACCATCTTTCCAAACGTATCATCGAGACGTGCGTATTTCAGACTTTCATCATTACTACAATAAAGTAGGTACAAATCGTGGTTTTCCCAAAAATTAACCATATTGTCAACTAACCAGTCCACGACATGTGCCCCCACTATCTTTCATTATTAAAATGAAAATCGAATCGTTTCTTGTTGCCTTCATTATAAATACTTCTCCTTCTTCAAATCATCATTTTTTATGCTCAAAAATCTCTATAAGAACTTGCAATATTCTCAATTTTTCTTCTTCTAAAAATCAATCAAACAAACTCCAACTCTTCCTCAACAATGGAACCCTCCAAGAAAGGTAACAAATCCGCTCAAGATTTGAAGAAAGCTAAAGATACTGCTACCATTCCCATTGGTCATATTGTAAAACCCACCATGGTTGTAAACAAGGAGTTTGTGCCAACGACCATGCTTTCTACAGAATGATGTGCAATTTATGCATCCCAGGTAATCATTCCTTTCACTGTGGATGATAGAAATTTAGCATACATGGATCCTTTGGTTAATGTTGATGATTTAGAAAAAACCAAAGGGTTTTTCCCTGCTTATCGTTCAACCAAATCCATAGCTAGTAAACCTAGTACCCCCAAAAATGTAGTAGAAAAGGTTGATCAAAACCCTAAAGGGTCAACTGTAGAGATTGTTCAAGGAAAGCATCCCTCAGAAACTGTAAAGGCGGAAAAACCCTTTCACTTAGATTACATGACTGAATCTTTTAGGCCTTTGAGATCATGCCTAACAAAGGATAGTAAGCCATATCTTGACTGGATGGCCAAAGCCGAACTAAAAAAATTCCAAGTCTGGAAAGACATGGGTATTTTCAACCTAATTCAGTTATCAAAAGTAGGACCAAGCTATTACCAACATATGCTAATAGTGTCTTTAAACTTCTGGGACATCACTCATAACACCTTTCATCTTCCCTGCATAATGATTACTCCTAGTCTTTTCGATATTGCCGCTAAAACTGGGCTTTGACCCAGTGGAGAGATCTTTGATCCAACTGAACAAATAGACAACACCGTTGACTTTGATGTTGAATATGATGGCTTCACAAAATACATTGCTCGTTATCATGTTGGAGGAGAAGAAGTGTCAGACGTGGAACACATAGCCTTCCTTGCACTATGGATGTCTCGATACGTTTTCTATAGCAAATCTCTACAAGTGGCAAATAGATTCTTAACCTTAGCTAACCAACTTCACTCTGGTCGAAATATTTGCTTCAGTGAATTAATTTTAGCTGGACTTTATGAGTGCTTAGGGGAAGCTACAAAAAACCTGAAAACTTATAAAGTAGGGACCAATTTACTCTTAGGTGGCCCATATTGGCTTCTTCAACTTTGGCTGAATGCCACTTTCAAACCTTCTCTTTCTACCTCTAGAAAAATAGACAAATCAGATCTTAGAAATCCAAAATCGAACTATTGAGGGGACATGGTTGGTTCGATTGATTCCAAATCACGAAGGAAAGGGTTTAGAGGAATGCTTTACAAGCTATGTTATTATGTTTGCAAAACTTCATAACTTTACTACTTCAATGACTCTTTTTGCTCAGAGAACACATGACCCTGAATGGTTTACAAGGTCTCTCTTTAATATTTCACCACCTCTAGATGCAGAAACTTTAGCCATATGGTGAGCTTTTCTACTTCCAAGATTAATAACCACCAGAATCATGTCTGTTAAGAGCCATATTGTATTACTTGACTACCAACCCAATCTTGTCGCTAGACAATTTGGTCTTTGTCAACTAATTTCTCAACCCCTTTTCAAAAGAAAGAGCGCCATTTTCCTTAAAGGAATGAATTTTACGACCTCTGAACGAGAAGAACAAATGCAACACTATTCTACCTTCCCTGAATTCAAACTTATTCCTTTCCAACCTTCCTTCTATTATACAAAAGGCATCGAAAATTGGTGGAAAAAATATTATTCTGATAATATATTCGATACAATCCTCCTTGCTCAACAACTGACAAAAGCTTTTGCCTCTGTGCAGGAACACATCAAGAAAGGTACGAAGACTCATATCAAAGAGATTCCAACGTTCCAAAAATACTTTTAAACTGTTTACAATCCAAATTATTTTAGTCAAACCATATTTAATGTATCAAAAACTTTAAGAGAAAAATACTAAAATGCTTCCATATTTGATTATTCCCTCATGTGTCAAACCAGAAAATATGTATGACTTAGCTTTCAAACTTGAACCACCAAATTTTCCAAAATTACCCAGTGCTGATTTTGGCCTGGCATTTTACCCTCCTTATCCAGATTGGTTCGTCTGTGGGAATTATCGCAACTGTTTAAAGCAAGAGTCTAAAAAACCTGCTGAAAGAGTGGTTTTGACTAATACATTGGACAGTTTCAAAGGCTTCTTTAACTTAGATCTAAATCAAGTTTCATTACTTTCTTTAGAAAGTGAAGGTGTGAAACTAAAGGTTATCTTGATCCCTTCAATCATCTTTATCATTTTTCTTTCTTAATTGATACTAACATGTATTGTCTTGTAATATCCTTTTAGCGGTTGAAAAGAAACCAACAAAGAAAGAAAAACTTACGTCGGAGACATGGTCAACAAGTGAACCCAAGCAAGATACTTCCTCGTCGAAGGACACTATCCCCAACCTTGAAAAACCCTAGACAATAACCCAAGTATAATTTGGTTTTTTCGCTATTATTATTTGATTGTATTATTTCTACTAACTTCTTTGTTCTTTATAGGCTGGTCGAAAACTGCCTCTCACTCCAAGAAAAAGATCCACCACTGAAACTCTACAAATTTCTTAGGGTGATGGAGACGCTTCTCCCACTCCTTCAAAACCTAAGAAGATAAAGAATAAGAAATCCAAACATTCTGATGTAGCTTCTTCTC